AAGAAAAGATACAAATATATATATATATATATATATATATATATATATATTCAATTATTTTTTGTTGTTTTTGAATAGTTAGCACAAAAATCGCATGAGTTAAATAATTCTAATTAACTTGGATAACTTTTAATAATTAAGGTAATTTAACAATTGTTTTTTTTTTTAATTTTTTAATAACATAATTAAAATAGTGACTAATTTTTTTTATCTGAAATATTGGTAGGGTGGCATATATCAACCATTCCTTTCCGCCAACGTCGTGGGAGGATAAAAAAATTTACCTTTTCGTTCATGAAATCAAAAGACATATTTCTGTTGTTCTTTTGTTTTCCGTCTAAAAATGACTAGTATGCAGTATTCAAGAAAAGAGAATTTCTGAAGGGTATAAAAAAATTCTGCTACCTAACAATTGAGGAAAAAAACAATAAAATTTTATTAATGCTAGCAATTTATACTGTACTAAACACCTGGAGAAAGATCTAATTTTTTTGTCATTTAAAGGTATTTCTTTTATTACCTTAATGAGCCATTACTCGTGTAGATGGCGCTACTATTCCGAGAGATCGCATTTTCTCAGACGAAAGTAAAATCGCTTCATGGCTGATTTAAATTTTTAATTCTACCTAACTATCCATTCTTATTTAACTTCTGCTGCGATAAATTCTACTGTTTCATTAATAATAAAAATGTCAAGCAACATTATAAAGTGATTTAATGCAAATAATATTAATAACATTAATTTAACTTAAAATGCTAAGTTCAAATTTCTGAGACTTATATAAAACATTAGTATTAAAAAAGATCATATTTAAAGTATCATAAAGAAAAGAAAATCAATATCCAATCTCATATGGTAAACTCAGAAGAAAACATTGAAGATGTGTACTAAAATGTAAATTTAAAAGAATTAACTTGTAAAAAAATAAATGCTAATGAAATTAATAAATTTTTGTTTTGAGCAAGAAAAAGTAAATCATGAAACCTTCACATAAAAAATTATTTTAATTAGCCTACTAAAGTAATCTTAATGCAATATGCAAAAAAATGTCATAAAGCATATTAAAATACTATATGTAGAAACAGTTGTCTTTCAACTAATTTAACTCCAGTTCATTTTTTCAAAAAATACATTATATCATACAATATTATTTTATTTAAATTAATAAATTACCTAGAAAAAGAGAATCGATAACACATATTTAATTCATAATTTACATAAGGTAAAAATACAAATTATTTTTCTAAATTACTCCTACAATATTTTCCTTAAAATTTTATTTTTAAAGTATAAAAGTCATTATTTACAAATATCTTTAATGAAATAATATGATGGATCATTTATAAAATTATATGGAATAATGAAATATTTTTAAGTGCACATATTAAAACCATGCAGCGGGTGCTATATTCAGTAAAATTCCATAAATAATTGAATAATTAAGATACATAGGCAATAATATTTCAGAAATACTTTATCAAACATTTGTTGAACAATTGAAATAAGTTTATTTTTTTCCTTTTTTTTTTAAATCTGAGATGATACTGATAATAGTCCTTGAACAAAATGTACAGAAATAAAATTAAAAGAAAAAAAAAAAGTAAATAACTCTTACATGTGAATTCAGTAGCTTTCTTGAAAAATTCTGAATTCTCAAACTTCAATGAATTTAAAGTATAGCTATAAGATCAGTTATAATGATAAAAAAAAAAAAAAAAAAGAAATTCTGGGCATAAATTGATGAAAAGTAAGCATTGAAAAATAGTGCTAACTTCTACAATGTTTTTAAGAAAATGAATCTTACAATATTTCAGTCCAAAATTCTGTGTATTTTTCTAACAAATTGCATTTTCCTTTACAGCAAAATTTATGGCACCAACATAAATTTTTTTCTGAGGTTTAAACACGGAAAAATATTTATTACAAAGTATCAAAAATATGTCAAAATATTTTTTTTTAAAACTCTGAATAATATTTTTACATAAGCGCACTGGAAATTTTCGTAACTAAATTTCAATTATTTATTCGATGTTGCTAAAGCATAAGTGTTTGGCATAAAATTTAAGTTTTAAAAAAATAAAATAACTAAAAAAAAAGATGCATAAGATTATATTTCATTCAAATTAAATACGGTATATCATTTTTATTTAAAACTGTGATTATAAAATAAATTTTCATATTTTGTGAGATAAACTGAGGAAATATATTGGGTTTATTATTATAATATTTAATTGAAAAATAGGAACACGCTATTATTGACTATGAGTAGATTCAGTATAGCTCACAATGAATTAAAAAAATTATAATAATTTAAAAATAATAATAATGAACAAACTGAAAGAAAAAAAAAGTTAAATAACTTGCATAGTACAAAATATAAGGAGTGAAAGTTATGGTGATGTAAATGATAATGCCAGTAGTTTTCTTAAGAGACTTAATATTTGTAATAAGTGGTATTTATATCCTTAATGTACAAACTTTGAATCAAAACTAATTAAATAATTAAAAATTATGTGAAATTAGGAAGATAATGTAAAATGTGAAAAGTTTTAAAAATATTTTTAAAATATATAAAAGCTAGCAGCTTAACTACAATTTAATAATTTATAATAATAATTCATTATTTTAATTTATTAACATAATTAATTATATAGTAATGTAATTTATTAATAATATTAAATATAAATTATAAAACTTAATATAATCAGCTTAAACTATTATTTTACAAGCATAGTTTTTAAATTAATCTTTTTTTTTTTTTGCTTAATGCAATTTTAAAAATCAGTAGACAAGAATATTTAATCTTTACTCCATTATCTAATACAAATTAAAATACCACTTTTGGAGTTTATTTAAAAATCTGTTAAGTGTCACTAATTTCTTGTAATGAGTATTAACTCTTAAGTATGAAGATTTTTGTTTTTATTTTGAATAAAAATATATCTGTGCGATTTTATTTTGTAAGACACATTTTAACAATAAAATAAAAAAATTTTTTTTTTTGGTACACTAAAATTTGATAAATAAATTATACATATTTTTTGTATGGCATGATAACTCAAAATTTCTAGTAGATTTTGGCAAATAAAGTGTAGTGCTCTTTTTGCTCAAAATCAATCATTTTTGACTTAAAAAACAAAAAATATTAGCAGGATAAATATTTAAATTATGACATCAGGTGTAATACCAAGGCAATGGATTAATGGCTGCTGCAAACTTATATAAAATAAAAATATAATAATTTTAGAAAAAAAAAATTGATGCTGCCATTGATAATATACAATAATTTACAATTAAATAATATTCTATGTTTATCTACTTTTGTCATAAAAAAAAAGTTTTTGTAAAAAAGAACAAAATTGTAGCTAGAATGCTTTATAAGAATAACATAACAATGATAAAAAATTTTATTACAAAATTACGTGTAAGAACAATGTATACTTCATAATGCATGGAATAATAATCTATATTCACCTAATTTCATTAAGTCATAAAATTGTAACTAGAATTTTTATTTTACAATAATGTACACTTGAGAAAATAATTCTTTAATATTAACTTAAAAATAACTGCAACAAAGTATACTTAATAATTATAATCTAACAATGTAGCTATACTTTAAATAATAATGTAGCAAGAATTGATACTTTTTAATAGTAAATTAACAAAGTATGTGATTTAAGAGCTTATAAACTCTAATTAAGATAATAAATAAATAAGAGTATAATCACAACATTGCATTTAAGAAAAATCATTTATTTAAAAAAAAAAAAAAGCATTTTGCTGTAAGGAAAAATTCTCTATTCTATTGTGGTAAATCAGTTGAATAAACTAACAATAATCAATCAGAATGAATCAAAAGATAATTTTTGATTCATTGTTAATATGTAAAAAATATAATTTTATTAGTACAAAAATCCTAATGATATTGAGATCAATAACAATAAACTAGTGTTGTGTAGTCAATATAAATTCTTACTTTAAGATTAACATAAGAAAAATTTTTCATTATAATTATAAAAAAAAACCTAATGTTATAATTATAACAAAATAAGAAGTAATAAATGAGTTCTTACAAAATCTTCAATTTATCCTATGGTAATATATAACTACTACTACTTCTATAGTGCTTAAGATAATTGTATAAAGAAACTTCGTTAAACATATACATAAAATAAGCAGTAGACTAGAAAAAAAGTGTTAAAACATAAAATTTAGAAAAAAAAAAAAAACAATAACATCTTTCACAACCATTAAAAAAATAAAAGTACAAATTTTTAAAGGATGCAATTTATTGCTATCATTAACTTTTGAAAATTTTTATGAAAACCTTTTTTTACTGCAAATATTTTAATTAACAATACAGATTTACACAAAGAGATCTCATATAGTGTCAATAAAAAGTAAAAATTGCAGCTATAATACAAACAAAAATATTGAAACGAAATCTCCAAGTCAAAAAGCAATAACTAAAAATCATATAAAATATTATCATTCCAAATGGATTGCAGAAAATAAACTAAAATATAATAACAAACGCAACTCAGTGGCATTTATATGATAAAAATTATCATAGAAATAATAAAAAAAAATTATAATTTCGGTGTTCGATAATATAGCATAAATTATAGTAATTCCTTTGTAATAGAAAAACGGCAGAATCGAACTAGATTAAGAAAATATCAGCCAAAACCAAATGAAATATGAACGTAAACATCACAAAACATCGTCGAAGATATATATGTAAAGAAACCGACGAAATTTCGGGCAGACGCTACAACACAACCGCCATTGCATTGCAGAATAATTCCCGACATTCATAGTAAAAATCTCGGAGCATGCGCTCAAATCCAACCGGAACTTCCGCTTGCCATCCATCACAGCAATGGGAGGAGCTTAATTCCGTGATTGACGTACGGGTGCTGGGGAAATGCGAGCACGACGCAGAGCTGTGATTGGTCGTTCTAATCGATGACGTCGTCATCGTCGCGGCATACGCTCATCTTTTATGGCGAAGTGGCTTGACTGGCATTATCGTTCAACCCACCTTGGAGCCGCTTGCTGTCCGTCAAAAGTATTCCCAATCAAAACACTCAATTACAGTCCGTTTTAGTGCAGCGTGGTGGTGTACGACGGATTTTATGGATGCAGTTCGCCAAAGGGTTTGGTGCTGAGCTGAAACTGTGCCGGCGATAGGGGCCCCCGATACAATCAGGCCCCTTACTCTATAATATTAAGTGTTACTCGTAGTATGAATGATCAACAGACAATGATGCATCCTGTTTCCCAACTACCATCAGCGAGCATGGCCGGCCATGTAGGGGCCCAACACGGCTACGGACTAGCCCAACCGTCTCATGTTGTTAATCAAGGGTCCCAAGGGGGCACCCCTGACCAGGACGCTCCAAAACACGATATATCTGAAATCCTTCAACAAATTATGAACATTACGGACCAAAGTCTGGACGAAGCACAAGCTAGGTATGCATCAGTCTTGAAATATCGTCCTAATTATGCGACGATCGTGCTAAGCCTAACACGACGGCGCGCTTAATTTGACCGATCGGTCTAGCAATGAGTAGACCGCATGTTCCATACAGTGTTTGTTTATTTTTTGTTAAAATTTTATGTTATCTATTGGATTTACCCTGTTCTGAGAGTTGTTTTTTTCCTCTCGTGTAGGAAACACACGCTGAACTGTCATCGAATGAAGCCTGCATTGTTTAGCGTTCTCTGTGAAATTAAAGAAAAAACAGGTAAGTCATTTATTTATACATGAATTCATATTCAAATATAATCTTATCTCTTCCCACCAATTATAGGTTTCGTATTCTTTCAACGCTGGGTCTCACTCCGAATCCATTGTTTACATGTTTGTTTACCTAATAAGTCAGCAATAGTCGCGTAGCTTTATTACAGCGCTTGCTTTATTATAATTACTATAAGATAATCAAACTAAATCCGTTTCTTCTATTTTTGTTTGCAGTTTTTTTCCCTTCAAAAGCCAACTCTTATGCCCAATCCATTGTTTACATGTTTGTTTACTTAATGAAGCTACTACAATCACGTAGCTTGTGTACAGCGTTTGCATACCAAGTTTACTATAATTACATAACTATAATTAAAACAAATGCAATTTTTCTCTTCGTTTACAGTTTTATTTTCTTATAAAAGCGAGCTCTTATGTAGAATTCCATTGTTTACATGTTTGTTTTCCCCGTGAAGCTACAACAATCGCGTCATTTGAGAATAGTTACCATCGACATTGTTTATAATCAATTTAAACAATATACCGGGGATGAAATTGTCACATTTATTTTACTCCAGAATTACAAGTTTTCTGTTTTCAAGTCGTTACTCTGCTCGTAAACGAACTTGATTAAATGTAAACAACATTGTTTACTTGAAGATGTGCTTATTTCTTCCGCTTGTTTACTTGTTGAAGAAATTTTTTGATTGTAAATGATCACACGATCTTTGTTTTCAAATTATGACAAATATTTGGTATATTTTGATAAATAGCTTTTAATATTTCATTCTTAATTCCATAGTTGTAGTACTCCAATAATTGACATTGGAGGAGGTTTAATATATTGTAATAAAAATAATTTTTAGTTCATTATTTAATTAACATTTAAGTATATGTATAATACATGTGATCACATATAGCAATATTTAATTATATATATACTTCATTCCTACTCTTCACCAAAGAGCTTCTTTTGTTGACATGTGAGTTACTAAATTTATATGTTGTATGACAAAAGATGTTATTAATAGGTAAATTACTGTTGTGAATTTAATCTCGAATAATGATTTTCTATTAATAAATTCTAATTTTAGTTTTATGTACTTTAAAAGAAAACAGTGTTGTAATTAATAAAAAATTTTATAACCGTTTTTCATAGCTTCTGGTTATATTTTCTTTATTTACTTATTTTAAAGTTGATGGATGTTAGATATTAAATTTTATAACATGGGGAGACTTGTTGTAGTACTTTGTTTTGAATACGTGGGTTTTAAGCATAAAAGTATATATTTTAAATTAAATGCATGATGTTGTATACTCGTAGGTGTAAAATTAATTTACCGTAACTAAATGTGTGATTAGATATATACTCATTGTCATATATTAATATCAAGTTCTGTTTTAGTTCATTTTTCTTTTTCTTAATTATGACTCATTACTTTGTCTGTATTATAACTGTAAATAGATAGATAGGATAAAGATTTTAAATTGTAACATTAATGTACCAAGATTTGTTTCATTGTTATAGTAAATATAACGTAACTTGTATTTTTAAATGTAATATTTATTCCTTAGCTGTTAAGAATTTTTAGTTTAAAGTTTACATTTACATATATAGAAAATATATATTAGATGTATAAGTTTTTGATATGGTTCAAAATAATATAGAAATATGGTTAGAGAGAATAAAAACAGAGATTGTCTCAGTATAGGCTATTTTTGTATTTATTATTTTTAAATAGTCGGTAGCTTTTGACATTTTGGTTTTAGATAATTGAAAATTATAATTTATTTAAAGGCTAATGCTTTTTATTCTCTAATATTTTACATTTCTATCATACGATCTTCCCTACTTGGCAAAATAAGTTATGTGTTCGGAAAGTTCCAGGGATTTTTACCAAATCGGAAGATTTGATAAAAATTTTAAATTTAGGTCTGTGATATGATCTTGTAAAAATAAGCAGCTTTATATACTTTCCCTGATTTCGGTTAAAATTTTACTTTGTTATAACTCAAAAGTCTAGATTTCAGAAAATTTTGAAATGAGCCTAGAACTTTTCATCTACAAACTCTTGATCTTACCTTCCAAATTATCTCCAAAAAAAACTTTCATTCATGGGAAGTAATTGTTAGTTTTTTTATCATTAAATAAAAAAAAGAAGACATGTAAGCATTGTTATAGCAATAAAAATTTATTTTGATTAAATTTCATGTACGTTACATGTAGCCTTTGCATTTCGATTTTATACAATGCAATATTTTCATTTGTGCATTTCAGCAGTTTACTTCCCCCACTTTTATTTGTCAGCTGGATAATTTATTTAAGAGTATAAACATTTGTTACTAATTGATAATTTTGAGTCTACACATTGCAATTTGTGTTATTAACCGTGTCATGTTATTTTTCGTATACTTAAAACATTTACTCTGTGAAGTATTTAATATAGCTGTATTAGATACATCAGGATATATTATTCTATCACTTTGTGACAGATTGTCTGAATATCAATTTCTAAATGTTTCTTTAAAATTTAGATGTGATTATATAAAATGTTCTGCTAAGTTCTTTTAGTTTTTATATATTTGCTTAGATTTTTTTCTTCTATTATTGCTCTGAAGTTGAGTTTTAATTTAACTTAAAAATAGTACATAAGCTATACAGGCAGAATTTTATTAAAATTTTTTTGAGTGCTTAGTTATTTTTTTTCGGTGTTTAATATGAATAATTTTTTTAAACAAATCAATTTTGGTTTAATATGATTTAGGTACACATTCTTTATTTGATTTCATCTTACACTTTCTTAACATTTAATATAAATAGTTTAATTTTTTTTGTTAAGAATATGATTTACTCTTTATTGGACTTCAACTTAATTTTTTTTAACATTTTAAAATTTTTTTAAAAAAAAAAGAGACGTAATTTTAGATTCAAATATTTATTATATAATTTATATCCTTTATTCCTTTGTTACCTCCATTAATTTGATTTTTTATATTTAAGATAAGGAAACTAAAGCTATATTGTTAAAAGAATTTTTAGAGTTAGCATTATATATATATATTTTTTCTAATACTGAACTAGATATTCATTTGAATAATCGCATAAGTAATCAAAAATTTATTCTGGGGTCTTGATGTGATAACATTAATGAATTAAATTTTTTTGTTTGTTTGTTATTCATTTCATATTTGTTATAGTATGTCATAGCAGACATTTTAGAAAAAATTGACAGTTTGTATGCATGTAGAAAGCATTTATATTTTATCTTCTTGACACTGAATTTTTTATACATATTAGTTGTTGCTATTTTATTTTTCAAATAAGTTGTTTATTAAGAAATTAGTGTACTTGATAATCCACTGGATAATGTTTAAGAAATTTTATATTACCAATATTTTTTTATTTATTATTATTTTGAAGCAGGGTTGCTTCAGAAAACTGCTTTGAGAAGTTAACCTATGCATATGAAGTGGTTCCTTTAATAACCTTAGTTTCATTTTACTGTAAAGTTAGGATACACAATATGCTGTACATCTTTATTTGTTGCGGGTATGAAAAATTTTGAAGTTTATGCCTGAATTCACTCACTAAAAGTTTGAATTGTAATGGTGTACACTTTCCTATATTATTATTGCTTAATATATTAATAGCTTATAGTTTAACTACTTTATTGTTTAATGCATTTAATGATATAATGTAACATCTTATAATGTTACAACTGTTAAATATATAAGAAATAGATAACCAGATTTTTTTTTTGAATTTAACATATGGTGTATATTTATTTACTTTGATTTTTTATTTGACAAAATTGTTAATCCTATTATGTTTGTCCCATAATAATATAGCCATAATAATGATAAAGCATCTCTCTTAAATAATATATTAAGGAAAGAAGGCTTAGAAGATAGACATTGTAATTGCAAATTTGGTGTTATTTAAGCAATTTCATATACACTTTGTGTTAAGTATGATTTTAAGCAGTTTACTAATATGCCAGTTAAATGTTTTCATTGTGAAATTAATAAGTCTCTAACTTTTTTTTTAAATATTTTTTATTAAAATTATATATTTTTTATTTATGTTTTTATGATGATTACATATCTCTTTGAATCACCTTAATTTTAGTTTTCGATAACTGATATTGCTTTCATCATTACTAACTGATTAAATAAGTCTCTAACTTTTTTTTTTAATAATTATTTTTTACGAATCGCATTGGGGTTAAAGTAATGTACAGTTTGGTTAAAGTTGGCTTCAGAATTTTTGAGTTACATTTTTTTAAAGCAACAAAATTTAGTGCATTAATTTAAATATCTAGCATTTTATTCAAAATTAAATTTTTATTTCTAAATTTGATTTTACAAAATATTTATTTTATACTGTACATTTAGTTAACTGTATATACATATTTCTAGGTCTTGAAATTTTGATCAGGCGTTGCTCATAACTAATAATCAATTTGAAAACATAATAGCTTCCAAAAATATGTATCTGATTATTTTATTTTATTATTTTTATATTAATTTTAATAGTAGCAATATTATATTATAACGTTAATAATAATAAATTCATGTGTATAACGCTTGGAATTAGGCGTCGTGACTTTTTTAATTTTCTCAACAATTTAAGAATTGTATCTATGTATAAAAGAAATAACTTGAACAAACATCAGTGTCCTTTTTAATATGTAGCAATATCTCTAATTTTAACCGTAACACCGACGTGTTATGCAAACAATTTTCAATGACCCTTGTTTCATAGATGTTGGAAGGAAGAAAAAAAAAAAGTTCTTTTCAAACATAAAAGTCGATGTGCAGTAATTAATATTATCGTTTACATAGTCGAGCGCTAGCAGCGGTCAGGAAAATTCGTATTTTTTCACGTTTAAATTAGAACAACACGAAGAGTGGAGAATGTCAATATTTGATAAGCTCTGTTGTTAGAATATCAGTTAATATATTCCAAATTTCCATTTTGTCTGCTTCATTAATGTTTTTTTCTTT